AGATGCCTCATCTTTCAGTATAAGTGGTTGGACAGTTTCCATAACAATTGAGAGAAGTAGAAACTCAGGAATTTTGGATGCCATGTTAATTTCATCTGACTTATCTTAGTCATAGTATCATCTGGCTATATTTCTTTAACCAAAAGGTTCTGCAGTCAGGACACGGCCCTAGGAAAACCTGAGATCACTGACCAAAGAAACACCAAAGCCCATGCCCTAAACAAGCATATGTAAATTCTCAAGATCAGAAAATAATTGCTTTAAGCCTGTATGACTAGCATGACATCTGCCTAAGGGGCCAGACAAAATCTGACTAAAAGTTTTTGGGGTTTTTTTTTTTTTTTTTTGAGATGGAGCCTCGCTCTGTCGCCCAGGCTGGAGTGCAGTGGCGTGATCTCGGCTCACTGCAAGCTCCGCCTCCCGGGTTCACTGGGGAGGCTGAGGCCATTCTCCTGCCTCAGCCTCCTGATTAGCTGGGACTACAGGCGCCCGCCACCACGCCCGGCTAATTTTTTTGTATTTTTAGTAGAGACGGGATTTCACTGTGTTAGCCAGGATGGTCTCGATCTCCTGACCTCGTGATCCACCCGCCTCGGCCTCCCAAAGTGCTGGGATTACAGGCGTGAGCCACCGTGCCCGGCCTTTTTTTTTTTTTAAACGTGGAACTCCAGAAATAACCATACAGAAACTACATCAACAGTGCTCCTTCTAATTTTAGCCTTTCCCTTTGTTAAATCAAAAGAAAGTGCTCAGCTACTTGGATCACCACCATTCAAAGTTAGTCTAAATGTGTCTTGGTGGAGGGAATAAAGTGAAGAATTCAGGAAACAGAGCCTTTGGGTGATAAGAAATGTAAACTATATTTTAATGAAGGCCATCTTGGTTGAAATGCTGGTAATTATATTTGTCACTTTAAAAACTTTACTCATCCTAAAAACTTACTAAAGGGAATGACTAAATAATATAAAAGAAGAGAGAAAGGAGGTAAAAAAGAGACAAAGCAACTAAGATAAGATTTGGACAGCTCAAAATTATTTCCCTTCACTCAGATTTCCAGTAGAAAAAGTTCAGTTCCTTAGAATCCTCTGTTTTCACAAAGAGCCCTTCAAAGATACTTTATATTTCTTTCTCCATCTTCTTTGCCTTCTAATCCCTACCACAATACCTTGCATAAATTAAAAGTTTATGTTTAATCTAAATGACCCCACAGTTTATATAATTTTGTGCTTTACATAAGACTTACGTCTAAAAATAATAAAATGTAAATTGATACCGTGTCATAAAATAACAATTTATTATTAAAGCATTAAAATACATAAAATGTATTAAACTATATTAAACATGAATATCTATTTTTTTAAGCTGGTTCAAAATGCCTGTCCTAATCAATACTATTATTAAAAGAAAGGTAAAGCTGGTATTAAATAAATTTTCAATAGCTCTGCTTAAATACAGAATCATTTAAACTCTAATTTATAACATTACTTACTTCAAATAATTTCCTAGGAGTATATTCTTCAAAACCCGTTTATAGCAGTAAACTAACAAAGAAAGTTTCCTGTGTCTTTGCTGTTATCAAATGTAAAAAAGCCCCTTAAACACCAACAGTTTACAACAATGTACACATATACATATATTTTAAATGCAAGTTACTTAAATATAGGTTTACATACACACAGACATTTTTAATACCTGCCACATACTCTGCACCACTTCTATATAATATATATTGATTAATTTCAAATACTTTAATAGATCTTTAAAGTTCATTCAATTTTTTCTTGAAATTTGTCTTCTTTACTTATGAAAAGTACCTTTGTTCTCCAAAATATTATTTAAAATATAATGGTGTTTTGTGGATGGGGAAGAGCAGTATGCCTTAGTATAGGCATGGCTTGAAGATATTGCAGGTTTGGGCCAGACCACTGCAATAAAGCAAATATTGTGATAAAGCAAATCATGCAAACATTTTGGTTTCCCAGTGCGTATAAGTTATGTTGACACTATACTGTACTCTGGTAAGTGTACAATGGCATGATGTCTAAGAAACAATGTATATATCTTAATTAAAAATACTTTATTGCTAAAAAATCATAATGATCATTTGAGCCTTCAGTGAGATGTAATCTTTTTGATGGGTGGAGGCTCTTGTTTTGATATTGATGGCTGCTGACTGGTCAGGGTGGTAGTTGCTGAAGGTTGGGGTGGCTGTGGCAATTTCTCTTTTTTAGTTTTGTTTTGTTTTATTTTTTCAAGACGGAGTCTTGCTCTGTCACCCAGGTTGGAGTGCAGTGGCACGATCTCGGCTCACTGCAACCTCCACTTCCTGGGTTCAAGCAATTTTTCTGCCTCAGCCTCCCAAGTAGCTGGGACTAACAGGTGCACACCACCACACCTGGCTATTTTTTGTGTTTTTAGTAGAGACGGAGTTTCACCACGTTGGCCAGGCTGGCCTCAAACTCCTGACCTCGTGATGCGACTGTGGCAATTTCTTAAAATAAGACAACAAAGTTTGCCTCATTGACTCTTCCTTTACAAAATATTTTTCTGTAGTATACAGTGCTGTTTGATAGCATTTTACCCACAGCAGAACATCATTCAAAGTTGAGTCAATACTCTAAAACTCTGCTGCTGCTTTATCAACTACATTTATGTAATATTCTAAATCCTTTGTTATCATTTAAACAATGTTTACAGCATCTTTCACCAGGGCAGATTCCATCTGAAGAAACTACTTTCTTTGTTCATTTAGAAGAAGCAACTCCTCGTCTGTTAAAGTTGTATCATGAGACTGCAGCAATTCAGTCACATCTTTAGGCTCCACTTCTAATTCTACTTCTAATTCCACTTCTCTTGCTATTCTACCACATCTGCAGTTACCTCTTCCAATGAAGTCTTGATCCCTTCAAAGTCATCCATAAGGGTTGAAATAAATTTCTTTCAAATTCCTCTTAATATTGCTATTTTTACTTACTCCCATGAATCACAAACATTCTTAATGGTATCTAGAATGGTGACTCCTTCCTATAAAGTTTTCAATTTACGTTGCTCAGATCCATTAGCAGAATTACTATGTATGGCAACCACAGCCTTACAAAATGTACTTCTGAAATAATAAGACTTGAAAGTTGAAATTACTCCTTGATCCATGGCCTACAGAATGGATGCTGAGTTAGCAGGCATGAAAACAACAATAATCTCCATGTAGATCTCCATCTGAGCTCTTGATGGCTAGGTGCATTGTCAATGAGTAATAACATCTCTAAAGAAATCTTTTTTCCTGAGTAGTAGGTCTCAACGGTGGGCTTAAAAGACTCAGTAAACCATGCTATAAACAAGTGTGCTGTCACTCAGGCTTCCTTATTCCATTATAGAGCACAGGCAGAGTTAATTCCTAAAGGCCCTAAGATTTTCAGAATGGTAAATAAGCATTGGCTTCAACTTAAATTCACCAGCCGCATTAGCCTCTAACAAAAGTATCCACCTGTCCTTGGAAGCCAGGCACTGACTTTCCTTTCTGGCTATCAAAGTCCTAGATAGCATCTTCTTCCCACATAAGGCTATTTGATCTACATTGAAAGTCTGTGGTTTGATGTAGTCACCTTCCTCAATGGTCTTACCTAGATCTTCTGGATAACTTGCTGCAGCTTCTCCATCAGCACTTGCTGTGTCACATTTACTTTTATGTTATGGAGACTGCTATTTTCCTTAAACCCTGTGAACCAATCTCTGCTAGCTTCAAACTTTCTTCTGAAGCTTCCTCCCTTCTCTCAGCCTTCACAAAAATTGAAGAGAGTTAAGGCCTTACTCTGGATTATGCTTTGGTTTAAGGGAATGTTTTGGCTCATTTGGTCTTCTATCCAGACCACTCAAACTTTCTCCATATCAGCAATGAGGCTATTTTGCTTTCTTATCATTCATGATTCACTGGAGTAGCACTTTGCATTTCCTTCAAGAACTTTCCCTTTGAATTCACAACTTGGCTAACTGGTACAAGAGGCCTAGCTTTTGACCTGTCTCAGCTTTCAACATGCCTTCCTCACAAAGTTGAGTCATTTGTAACTGTTGATTTAATGTGATTCTTTAATGTGCTGGTCTTCCTTTCACTTGAACACTTAGAGGTCATTGTAGGGTTATTAACTGGCCCAATCTCAATATTGTTGTGCCTCAGAGAATAGGGTGGCTCAATGAGAAGGAGAGGGATAGAAGAACAGCCAGTTGGTGAAACAATCAGAATACACACAATACACACAAGTTCACCACCTTATATGGGCTTGTTTGGTGGGGCCCCATAATAATTACAATAGTAACATCAAGATCACTAATTACAGATCATCATAATAGACATAATAATAATGAGATAGTTTGAAATATTGTGAGAATTATGAAAATGTAACAGAGAGACATGAAGTGAGCACATGCTGTTGGAAAAACGGTGCCAACAGACTTGCTCAATGCAGGGTTGCCATAAACCTCTAATTTGTTTTTTTAAAAATCTGCAAAGCACAATAAAACAAAGTGCAATAAAACGAGATATACCTGTACATTATCTCCTCATGTGCTAACAGCTCTTTGAATTCTATACTGTCTCACATATTTTCTATGGGCACAGGCACATAGCACTTTTCAAGTACAGCCAACCAGAAGACTAGCAGAAGTTATCAGTGTAAATTATTCATGTGTATATAGACTAGACTCTTTAAGATAACTCATTCCTACAATTGAGCCCTATTCTCAAAGAGTAAGATATTTATTCTTTAAGCTTATTATAATGGGCCCTGCATTGTGTTACTTCACTGGAAATTACAATAAATTGAGGCTTTTTTACCAGCTGGTACTTTTTTGTATGCTCCTCCCAAGAAAACACTTATCAAAAAATAATTATTACAAAACAATTGCAAAAAAACTAATAAAAATCACACATACTAGGAGTTAAGAACTTGTTTACAAACTGTAACTGTTTCATTGCACAATGAGAAAAGTAATAAACCAATACTTACAAATATGCACAAAAAATATCAGCCCCAGCACCCAGAAATCACTGGTAAATTGCCTTTGAATTCATGAAAGTGACCTGAAAATTTAATAGAAAATGAAATTAAAAAGGGTAAGTAAATTGCATTTATATGCTTTATGAAAGAAGTATACATTCTGGCTACAAATCATACAATTTTTAACTCATGTAGTTATCCCCATCTACTCTAATAACTTTTTCCAAAATGATAATGCCAAAAGAAACAATTATTTCATTGTTCTACATCTAAGAATGCCAGATCTCCATCCAATATTGCTCTTTTAAAAAAAAAAATCGGTAATAAAGTAGGTGTTAAAAGTACAAATAAGTAAGAATAAAAGGGAAAAAATTTTTAAGAGAAAGAAAGAAAGAAATAGGCTTATAATTTATATTTGAAAAACATTTAATATATGTCTGCAAGTTGAAATGAATTAGCTTCACAGAGAATATCTTAAATGTGTCTGACAGGAATATCTTGTAGGTAGAATTAATAAGAAAGAATGAAGTGTTTGTTCTACCTAGGTGTGGAACCCATAAGATGCTTAGGCTATTATATATGATGCATTCTGTATAAGCCATAATTCAATTCAAAATTCTTTTGCTCACATATACTTCATTCTCACTGAAGAAGTAACAGATGCAACTCAAACACACAGAGCTAGCCTTATACAAATTTTTAACATACAAAGAGTCATTTTATGCCTCTAAATGCCTATGATTTCCTCTATACAGGACCCCCATGCATTAGAAGGTAGTTTGGTAGTTTATTTTTATTGTTTGGTCTAAATACAGCATATTTTTAGCTCCATTAAAACAAAGAAACTTTGTTACAGAGGCTGTATTCTTTCAAAAATGTGAGCATGGCTATGAGTAGTAGTCATCAAAAAATAATAATAGAGCTTGGGTTCCTAATTTAGGTCAGGAACTTTCCTAGGCTCTAGGGACTGGTTTGATTCAATCTGCAGTTTTTAAATATAGCCAGCAAATATCTAGGTTAGTTACAGCTAACTAGATTTAAATAAAATCCTTCTGAAAAACAATGCATCTTGATCAACATCATTTGTAGGAACCACTGCACCCAACTTTGCAATTATAGCACAAATGACCTTAACAGATTAGGTATAGCATCTGAAATTAAGATGAAATATGAAATAAATATCTAACTCAGCCCTCTCCAACCCCTAAAATATGCTTTACCTAAATGATCAGGTAATTTATTCTATTTTCTAGTCAAGATTGATAGATAATAGAGCCAGGTGCAGTGGCTCACACCTGTAATCCCAATACTTTGGGAGGCTGAGGCAAGTGGTTTGCTTGAGTCCAGGAGTTCAAGACCAGCCTAGGCAACATGGTGAGACCCCATCTCTAAAAAAATTGTTTTAATTTTTTTAAAGATTAATAGATGACAAAGGTGTGGGCATTTGAACAGCTTTAAGCATCAACAGCTAATATACCCATTAGACTTCTTCACTAGACCTTCTTGTCCTTGTAGGAAATGGTGCCTCAGGGCTTCCCCACTCTAGTTTCACCAGTTTCCAGCAATTCTGTAATGCCTATTTCCACAGTGCAAGAAGTACAGGACAGTCTGGCCAGGGGGATGTAGCTCTGTTATTAATTTTTGGCATTATACCCTTTTCTTCCTCATTGCTTCTGCTGTTTAGGGATCTGGGAGAGTAATTTTATCTGGGACACCAGACAAGCCTACCTGGACACACTGTGTATATTATCCAAAACCATCAAAGAGTACTGGTTCTGATTCAAACCATCCTCACATGCCATCCCCTGCTGAATTATAAATTATAATTTCCTTATAAAGAAGTTACCCACTAAATAAATTTTATAGCAAAATGCTGTATATCTAAAAGTCTAAATTCTAGAAGAATCCAAAAGAAGTTTTAGTACTTATACATTTTAAAATACCACATCTTGCTTTTCTGGCAAATACTTTTTTAAAAGCATTAATTGGAATTATGCAAGATACATGATACATCCTATCCCTTCACTTCCACATAAAGGATGGGGAGCTAAAAGAAAATGCGACCAGAAAATATTGCGGTTAGGGTAGATTTAATTTTTTAATCAATGAGCTATCTTGAATTAAGATCTCTAACTCTAGAAATATTTTTAATTTTGGAACAAGTCAGATTCCAGACATTTAAAACAAATAATATTTTCACATACACCAATACAAAGTCAATAAATCTTATTCATCATATCAGTGCAGTCCTGCTACATATGTTTAAAGCAACTGTGAATCTCATTATCAACTGATTTGCACTATTGGTGAAGTTTAGAGCAAAGAATTTAAAAAAATAAGTTCCTATGGTCAAAGAGTTCATTACTATATAATTTTTAAAATGACTTTAATGCATACTTCTGCAGGCAGATCACTGAAGGCTAAACAAGCAACATTTTATGAGAGGCAAAGAGTTAAGAATAATACACACACAATTGAAATAGGTACTTTTTTAAGAACTAGGAAAGTTTATCTTAAAAAGACATTTCCAAAAATAAAAGCAGTCACTATGGTCCTGAGGGCAGCACAAATGTGAAAAGATAGAGAAGGAAATGCCAGAGCAAATCATTATGTGTTCTGGAAAATCTCAATCTGTTTGGTAAAACGAATCCTCAGAACACGTAATCACCCATGGATTGTTCCAGTTCTCTATTTGCTCATTTATACATTCAGCAGAGAGTGATCATGGGTTAAAGATCACACTGGACAGTAAGAACACAAAAATTTTAAATTAAAAAAAAAAAAGGCCTTTCCCATCAAGGATTTCAAACAATCAATAATCTGAGCTGGGTCATAGTCTATTACACATCTGACCATAGTGGTAATTTGCTCCATAATATTTAGTCAGCAAGTCTTTAACATATTCTTAATGTACTAAATAAAAAATGCATTACTACATATACTTCAATATAATAATGCACAAGGGGCCAAGCGCAGTGGCTCATGCCTGTAATCCCAACACTTTGGGAGGCCGAGGCAGGCAGATCACTTGAGGCCAGGAGTTTGATACCAACCTGGTCAACATGGCGAAACCCTGTTTCTACTAAAAATACAAAAATCAGCCAGGCGTGGTGGTGCACACCTGTAATCCCAGCTACTCAGGAGACTGAGACATGAGAATCACTTGAACCTGGGAGGCGGAGGTTGCAGTGAGCCGAGATTGCATTACTGCACTCCAACCTGGATGACAGAGCGAGACTCTGTCTCAAAAAAAAAAAAAAAACAAGGGATACAAAGAAGAAGTGTACAAATGAAGAAATGCAAATGTCCAATAATATGAAAATATGTATAATCTCCCAAATAGCCAAATAAATGTAAATAAAATATTTTCACTCATAATATTGGCAAAACATTTTATAAACTGGACAAAAACTGGTATTGGTGAGAGTGTGGAAAAATAAGCACTTTCATGTACTATTGATGGGATTATAAATGTATGACTTTTCTGAATGGCAATTTTATAATAAGTTTTAAAACTTTTACTGTCCATATCCTTTGAGATTTCAACGCTACTTTCAAAAATTATCTTAAGGAGCTCATTATAAATATGATAAAAGATACACACATTTAATATGTATGTTCACTACAGTTTTTTATAATAGCCAGAATTAGGAATTGATTGAATAAGTAAATTGTGCTACAAACATATAACGCTACCCTGTAATTATTAAAAATCATTATATAAATCTATATTTATTGACAAAAAAGATTGCCACAATACATTGTTGAATAAAAAATATGTGTATAATAAAAGCCCACCAATTTATAGAATATCAAATATTTATGTGAAAATCAAATATATATGCATGTATAAGTTTCACAAAATATAATTTAACAAAAATATTAACATTGGGCAGGGTGTCATAGGTTATTTTTACTTTCTTATTCTTATGGTTTGATATTATTTAGATTTTTTTATACTTAGCATGTCTAATGTGTGCCAAAATGAGGAAGCTATTTCTAAATCCAGTACATCACTTAGAGATTCAAAAGAAATCACCCAGATCTAGGATAACTTGCTATTAGTCTGGGGGCAAAAGCCAAATATTAATATTAGTTTTAAAAACCCTCAAAATTACAGGGCAACTTCAAATGAGTATCTTAACATCAAATGAAGAAACCATAAACATTTTCACAAAAGCTTGTCCCACTCTACCAAAAATAGGTAATAGATCAAAGGTAAATAGCAAATAAAAACATTGCCACCTCCCTGTATAATTAGACTTTAAAAGCTTTCAAGCTACATTTTTAAATCCTGCCTAAAGCCTGTCTTTAAGCCAAACCCACTTCTGTTTTTAGTAACCCCCCTCCCCTTACCTTCTTTTTATTATTTGAGTTAGCAAGAAAGTTCAAGTATCAAATGGGTGGTTGTACTAAATGACCTTACAGCCCTGAGATTCAGTGATTCTGAGGTATTATTTAAAGTACTAAAGTGCTTCCAAAACACCTGTAACAAATTTTGTCTGCTTTTACATTAAATTGTAGCATTGCATGATTAAAACTGAAGTCAAGAATTAAATAATTTTTTAAATTTATTGATGCATTGATTTTACTAATATTATACATAGTGAGCCACTGAATTAAAACAACTGTCTTCAAAGCATTGATTCTCTCAACTAACTTTTAGGAAAATATCAATGCCTGGTCTTTCATATATCAAAATAAAAATTACACATTAAAAATATCCTGTATGCAAATTGAAGTGGGTTTTCCAGGAGATGTGATTGTTGCATTAAAACTATTGCTATTTCCTCCAAAGCTCTATCAATTTAAAAATTTCAATTCTTCACTGTTATTATCACTTTTTTTGCTTACGGCTTTACTAGATTAAACCCATGTTTCTTGAACTACATAATGCTTAGTTTTCTTTTTCCTTAATAATCATATTAAATTATGCAGAATTTGAATTAACTATAAATAATAAAATGTAAAATTTGACTTTCAGTAGAACTGACATTAAGCTAATGTCCAGTATTTTTTTAAAATGGAGATGTTAATAATTAAAAACATCACAATACTGAATAGAAAATTGTGTCTCCTAATGCAAAAGGTTAGAGTATTTGTGAGGTATCAAGGAAGACAATTTAAGATGCTTCCTAGTCCACCACTCTGCTGTTCTGGAAGAACTTGCTTCCTTAAAGAAATAGGAATTTCTCCTATTCTTAAAGATCTCCAAAGGTAGTTATTATTGAAGCCACCTCATAATAGCTTATTCATGTATTCTATGTTGCTCAACCTATATCTCTTCAATATTATTTTGGTATTGAGGGCCACCACTTAGAAGGGACATTGGCAAAGCATTCAGAGGAGAATGGCTGGGAAACTTTATGGAAACCATGTTACAATAGAATGGTTGCATGTTCAATGATGGTGGTTGGAATGAACTTGGAGATCAAGGAGTCCAGTCGTTACCAAACTCTTAGGTCTCAGGACTCCCTTACAGTCCTAAAAAGTATTGAGGGTCCCAAAGAGCTATTGTTACTTTTATCAATACTTACTATATTAGAAATTAAACTTTAAATTTTTTAAATAGTTATTTTAAATAACAATAATGAACCTATTACATAGTATTATATTTTATGAAATATAAGCATAATTTCCAAAATAAAAAAAAGAGAGAGAAAACTAGCATTGCTTTACATTTTTGCAAATCTCTTAAATGTCCGGTTTAGAAAAAGACAGCTAGATTATCACAGGTGCTACTGCATTCAATCTGTTGTGATATGTTGGTTTGGTGGAAGTACATGAAAAGTATCCATTTTCACACAGATAGAAAGAGGCAGAATGTTTTAATAGCCTTTTCAAATAATTGTGGCTATTCTTTTATATTACATCAAAATTTGACAAGTAATCATTTCTCAAAGGTTAATTGCAATATGGAATCTAAAACTTGAATATCAATAAACTTTTTGTATTCCATTACTCTAAAATCAAATCACCTTTAAATGGATCTTTTAGCTATACCTGACTTTGTAACACCATACATTACTTCATTTGAGAAACATTGGCTCACTGAGTTTAAAACATTGACATGTTCTATTATGCAATATTGTTAAAACCACATTTCTTAATATCACCACCCAATCTTATCAGAAAGGTTTTTAAGTACTGGGAAGCAATCATGATTGTGGTGGTGGGTAAAAGCTTTCCAAACTACTCACTTGCTCTTGGAAGCTCAAATTTTATTGACAAAAAAGTGTCACTTGCTTTCCTCAAAATAGGCGGGCTCACTTTGTTCATTTTTGAGAATATGTCTGCCAGGTTTTTAAGTCTAAATAACCATTGTGTGTTTGTTAGTTGTTCTTTCAAGTAAAAAATGGTGTTCTTTGAAAAAAGTAGTTAGTTCAACTCAATTACAAGTGATTTTCCTCAAGATAACCATCATACTTGGGTATGTAGTGTAAGTGCCTTATACATACTCCCCATTTCAGCACATAGAGTATTAAAGAAGGGTCAAGACTTAATAAAATTAATAATTTTACTGTTTCATCTACAATGCTCTTAAGTGAAACTGGTTTTTTGTTTGTTTGTTTTCATGAGTGGTAATAATAAAGAATTCAATGACTACTAACATAATTTGGTGCCACTGTCTTAATGTGTGCTAAGGCACCAGCAGTTTTAATGCAAAATTGCTCTGCATACTCAGTGCAAACGTCAATACAGTGAAAAAGGCAACTAGCAATTTCCCATTATGATGAAAATAGTTTTGACAACACACCCTCTGAAAGGGTCTCAGGGATCCCCTGTGTCCACAGGCCACATTTTGATAACTGCTGATCTACTCGGATACTCCATTTTGCAGCCAAGGAAATTACCTTAGTTTTTTCAAGCATACAGTAAGAGGCAATGATACCTAGCACAGCAAATATAATATAGTAAATGCTGATCAAAATTAGTTTCTTTTTCCTCCTTCCCAAAGAAAGAACAATACTTGTGGCTGGAAATTACAAAGTGGTAGGTTGTAGTTCAGTCCAAGATAAACCTTTTTTTTTTTTTTCAAGCTCACAAAAGCACTTTTTATTTGAGGCAAAGAGAAGTCTTGCTGAAAGGGTTACAGTTCCAAGCAGTCAAAACTCAACTGTTACTTGCACTATTTTGACCTGGTAGATTTTGCTTCCCTTTGGTCAGAAAAGGGTATTCAGGTTGTACTTTCCCCAGCAGGGCAAAAAGAAGGGCAAAGCAAACTGGAAGAGACCTCTACTCTACTGACAGGGCTCTTCAGATCCAACATCAAGCTGGACACACCCTTGCTGGTCACTCTACAGTTTGCTGGCCACTCTACAGTTTGCTGTCCCACTGCTGAGTGACACAGGCCATACTACCTTTGCAATGAAAACAAATGAGGCAGGAAACACAGGTATAGGTCACTTAGGGATGAGCAGGCAACCACAGCTTCAAAACTCTTCATGGAAGGGGTAATCCTTGTGGCAAGCACAGCTCACCAAGGCACAGATCCTCCAGTTCCTGTTGTAGCTGAGTGAGGTGGTCACATCCTGGGTGCTCAGTTCAAAGTTAAAGACCTTAACGTTCTCAGCAATGCGTTCTGGTGTCACAGATTTGGGGATCACCACCAAGTTCCTCTGCATGGGGAGCCGGATCAGGACCTGGGCTGTAGTTTTATTGTGCTTGGCTGTGATCGCCTTGATCCTGGGATCCTCCAGGAGGGAAGGGTCCTCGAGCTTGGCCCAGTACTTATAGGGAGAGCCGAGGGGGCTGTAGGCAGTCGCCACAATGCCTTTGGGCTGGCAGTACTGGATTAACTTCTCCTGAGTGAAGTACGGGTGGCACTCAATCTGGTTAACCACAGGCTTATCCTTTAAGTCAGGTTTGTTTAAGATCCTCTCCACCTGGAAATGGTTGAAGTTGGAGATGCCAATAGCTTTCACTAGCCCTTCATCCACCAGCTCTTCCATGGCCGCCCATGTGTCCAGAATGTTGGTGTCACTGGGAACCACACTGCCTGATTCATCCTTCCCAGGCTTAAAGCCAGTTGGCCAGTGAATAAGGTAAAGGTCCAGGTGGTCCAGCTTCAGGCCACTGAGCGTCTTCTGGCAGGCTCCTTTTACCAGGCCCTTCTCATGGCACATGCACCACAACTTACTGACAACGAAGAGCTCCTTACACTTCACCACCTGCTCCCTGAGCTTCTCCTGAATGGCCACCTCCACCTCATTTTCATTCTGGCACACATGGGCACAGTCGAGGTGGCAGTGCCCAATATCGAAGGCCACCTTCACAGCCTCAGTCACTTGGCATGGAGGGGGCTTCCAGGTGCCCAGCCCCAGGATGAGCATCCTGGTACCGTTGTTGAGCACAAGGTGGCTGGCCATGGCTGCTGCACTCCCCAGACTCCCACCCAGAACTGTGCCTAGTTCAGTCCAAGATAAATCTTTTAAAGCAATGAAATAAGTTGCCTCATCAAATAGAAGTTGTCAAAGTTGAGACTGCATGACTCTTTACCAAGAATGTTGTAGAAAGAATTCTTACAGAGTTTAAAGTTGTACCAAAACTTAGCTGATTATATAATCACCTAAAAATCTTTTATAAAGTTCAAATTTCTGGGCCCCACTCCAGACTTCCTAAGCCAAAATCTCCTTGAGTGGACCAGGAGTTTACATTTTTTTAAAAGCTCTGGAGGTGACTGTTACAGTTGGCCTAGATGGAGACTGGTATTCAGGAACTGCTGTATCAGTTCTCCTCTAAAGTCACTACCACTCTAAGATTCTACAACTTTATACTATCCACATCCACTAGGAAGAATACCTTTACACTTTAATGTAACATACCCTAAACCTACTTTAATAAATTATATGGTCAGGATCAAGGTATTTCAGGGTGAAGAGAGGAGGAATTATTGTTGCATTTCCTTAGGCCCACCAGTTCACCTCTGCCAACATGTGTAGCTGAATTGTAAATCAGAGATAGAATTGCATAAATTTGACACATTTTTACAACTGCCAACACTTTACTGCTCTCCTGAAAGAATAATTCAATAAGAGCTATCTATGAACAAAGTGGTCAGTATAAAAAGAGTGTCTACACAAAAAAAAAAAAAAAAATGAGGGCCAGGTGCAGTGATTCACACGTGTTATCCCAGCACTTTGGGAGGCCGAGGTGGGAGGGTCGTTTAAGGTGAAGAGTTCAAAACCATCCTGGACCCCCGTCTCTACAAAAGAAATTTAAAATTAGCCAGGCAGCCAGGTGCAGTGGCTCACACCTGTAACCGCAGCACTTTGGGAGGCCAAGGTGGGCAGGTCATGAGGTCAGGAGTTCGAGACCAGCCTGGCCAACATGCTGAAACCCCATCTCTACTAAAGATACAGAAACTAAGCTGGGCATGGTGGCGCGTGGCTATAATCCTAGTTACTTGGGAGGCTGAGGCAGGAGAATTGCTTGAACCCTGGAGGTGGAGGTTGCAGTGAGCTGAGATCTTGCCACTGCACTCCAGCCTGGGTGACAGGGCAAGACTCTGTCTCAAAAAAAAAAAAAAAAAAAAAATAGCCAGGCATGGTGACACACACCTGTAGTCCCAGCTACTCAGGAAGCTGAGGCGGGAAGCCCACTTGAGCACAGGAGGTTGGGGCTGCAGTGAATTAAGATGACGCCACTGCATTCTACCCTGGGCAACAGAGTGAGATCCTGTCTCAGAAAAGGGAAGGGAAGGAAAGGGAAGGGAAGGTGAGGGCAGGAGAGGAGAGGGGAGGGGAGAGGAAGGGCGGGAATATTTAGAAGACCCCATGTCATTACTTTATAAAGGTATTTTACAAAGGCAGCTTATCATTATGAACCAAGATCAAATTACAGACCACAAGCTTCCAAAAACTATTTACAGAATCACCATGTGACTTAATCCCCAAAATTTGTATTTTGACATCTTCACTAAAGAAATATTCCGGCCGGGCGCGGTGGCTCACGCCTGTAATCCCAGCACTTTGGGAGGCTGAGGCAGGCCGATCATGAGGTCAGGAGATCGAGACCATCCTGGCTAACACCTTCTCTACTAAGAATACAAAAATAAATTAGCCAGGCATAGTAGCGGGCGCCTGTAGTCCCAGCTACTCGGGAGGCTGAGGCGGGAGAATGGCGTGAACCCAGGAGGCGGAGCTTGCAGTGGGCCGAGATCGCACCACTGCACTCCAGCCTGGGCAACAGAGCGAGACTCCGTCTCAAAAAAAAAAAAGAAAGAAATATTCCACATACTTTATAAACACAAGGCAGCATGGCAACCTGACAAAAATCAAATAAAAATTTCACAGTGAGTAAAAAAGAATATATTTTGTAACTTTTCACCTAATAAACTTGTTCTCCTTTATTCCTTCATGCCCGTTGCTTTTCTTATCAAAATAAACTTCTTTGAAATAACTTTTGTTATTTTTAAGATCTTTTTTTTTAAGATCTTTTTTCTTACAGCCTGTGTGATTTCAGAGATAACTAGTTAATAATAATAGTTTTTAAAAAGGCAAAGGGTCCTGTATGAGTAGGTCTGGAGAAAAAAAGTCATTATCAAAACAAAATCCACAGACTATCTATATCAGAACTGCTTAGAGTGCTTATTAAAATAAAAAATTTGTGAGCGGGTGCGGTGGCTCATGTCTGTAATCCTAGCACTTTGGGAGGCCAAGGTGGGCGAATCACTTGAGGTCAGAAGTTCGAGACCAGCCTGGCCAACGTGGTGAAACCCCATCTCTACTAAAAATATAAAGATTGGCTGGGCATGGTAGTCCTGGCTACTCAGGAGGCTGAGGCAGAAGAATCACTTGAACCCGGGAGACACAGGCAGCAGTGAACCAAGATTGCACCACTGCACTCTGGCCTGGGTGACAGAACGAGACTCCACCTCAAAAATAAAATAAAATAAAATAATTTTAAAGATTATTAAAGCTTCACCCAAACCAATCAATTCTATGATTCTGAGAGTTGGCCCATTAATCTAATTTTAAGCATTCTTCAGATAATTCCTAGCACACTAAAATTCAAAAACCCCCAGTGCTAAATGAGGGTATGCTCACAAAAACTTTTGTGGAAAAATGAAAATTTTGTAACTCTGTAAAATATCTTATTTTACAGAAAAGATTCTCAATGATTTTGGAGTTCCTGTTTTATAAAAATAAAATAACAATGTTTTCTTAAATATAAGGAGGTATTAGAAACTAGACATTGGAATTTAACTAAAAAATTAAGTCTTAGTTAATTGCAGGGTGCTTTTTTAAAAAATCTGAGATAAAGATACAAGCAATTCTTCAGCAATTCAACTAATATTTCTGAGAGCCCACAGGATGAACAGCATGAATATGGATATCTAGGGATACAGGACAATAAAGCATAATCCCAGACCTCCAGGAATGGCATTTGGATTCATTGTAAGATAGATGCTATAGTTAGAATAGTCTTGCTTTTGCAGTACACTATCATATCCAGAAAGAGAAGAGGATTCCTATCCTTGCTGAGTTTTCTCTTCCTGAGTTCTGCTCACAAAATGGACTAACAGTAGAGTGGCAGAGATTTAAAAAGCAATCATTTAACAAAATCTTGCAAATAAATTTTAATTTTTAAGACCATACCTCTTTTTAATCAATGTATTTTATATAGAGTAGACATATAGAAAAAACTGAGGCAGGGCCATTCTTTGTACTTGTTCTAGATAATTAAATCAAGATAAATTTAAAGACAGCAAAAGATGGTCAACTTTAATCCTCATTTTTTAAAAGTCTTCTTGCTACCACTCTCAGTACCACTCCCTCTTAACCACAAATAATGACTTCAGTAATGAAGCACTGTAATTTAAAAGTATCAGGCAAATAACAGCAAGTAACTTAGATGAGTTGACACCGCCTGTTGCGCAAATATGTACTTAGACTATTATAAAAATAACAACTGCATTATCAACTGGATACAGACCAGAACAACTTATGGGAATACAGAGAGTCAACATAGTCTCAACTTGCATGTATGTGGCACTTTACATTTTTCAAGCATTCCTAAATTTGCGGTAGAAATTAAAAGGAAGAGAGATGCTGAAAGAAGAGAAAATAAAGATTTGATAACTATGGGCTAATTATCTAAAAGTCCTAATTTCTAGAGTAAATCATCCTTACTCGTCATTTACTGGATGCTTACTCTGTGCCAGACACTGTATTAAGCCCTGAGAAAACAAAAATGAATGCAGTAGAGTTGGTGACTTCAGGGAGTTCACAGCCTAGTAAAGAAGACAAATAATTACAGCTTTGTATGCAATATGTAAAGAAAAGAAAGCAGATTATAAAACTATATAATGTCACTTTCTAAAATAAAGAAAATACTTTTAAAGATGAGGATGTTAACATTTACTTCCCAAAGTTTTTGTGGGGATTTGACATATGAAAATGCTTACTAGATGCGGTATGCCTTCCATAAATGTATTTCCCTTTTTGCTTTTTCCCTAAGACTCAAATGAAATGAGCTCAAGTCACATCTTAGGTGATGTGGTGGCTAGTATAGTTACCCACTTTTTAAAGAGGAATGCCTTAAGGGTACAAGACCCTACAGTTGTGTCCTTGGCAATGCTACCACATTATCACACCTAACAAATAAACACTGTAGACCCACTAGGAGCTTAGTTGCACACTACAGGTTAGTCCTTCTCAACCTTACCTTAGGTCTTTTGCTCACTCTCAAAAACAAAGAAACAAAGAGGATCATATGGAGAGATCCTGCTTATCATTTTACTGTATCTTCTTCATAACAATTTGAAGATTTCACTTTGAAGTCCAGACGAGATCTGGCCTAGCCTCGGAGGTTGCCTCACATTCTAAGTAAAAATATCAGGGATAGCAGAATGAAATGTGCCCAAGTTTACAGGCAAGGAAACAGACATACAACTCTCTTAGGACCACATGACAAGTTGCTGACAGAGCTTTCATTTGAAGTCAGAGTTTCCCATTACTAGGCATATGACGTAAAGCCAAAAAGGGGGGATAAAAATTATATTCACATACTTTTTAAAAAGTAATAAAAGACTATGTTCTTAGGAAAAGGACTGAGAGGAATAAGCTGTTAACAAAGGCTGCCAATGGGCATGGGACAATAGGTAAACACTATCTTTCCATTTTTCACATTTTTCTAAATTTCCTTAATGCTAAACATTTTAAGTTGGAAAAAATAAATTAAGCAAAAAAAAGTATGCAGTTCTACTATTTTATACAGAGTTCACACTTGTGAAGGTCACAATCTTGAGCAACATTCAGAGTATTTTCTAAATTGTCATTAACATGCAAGTAAATCTTCTAATTAATAATGTGAGTTCTATATCCTACCTCCAAAAATAAGTGAAAGTTTAAAATACAGGCAACTCACTAGTCATAATATTATGTCATTATGTGGTTATTAAAACTTTTATTTGGAACCTAGACAATAGCATGAGAAAACATTTGTGGTGTGTATCCACTGTATTATATAATAGACATAGTCAATAGAGTTATCTAACTATCTTTAAATCAGCAATATTCCTTTGAAAGTATGGTCTGAGATAGATTAACTACTTTTTCCTTGATAAATAACTTCAATTTAAAAATGCAACACAGATTCATTGCTAAAACTGAATGAGATAACACGTAAAGCAATTAGTCCAGTACCCTGGCAGTTAACAGGTATACTTCACATAGCTAACCTCTTAGAGTAACAATGGCACTTCAAAGTATGAGTTTTTTAACCTTCTTAACTTTTTATTCCATTACTTCACACTCTACTAAAACAACAGGAACCAGAAGGCAGTCTAGTATAGTCAGAGAGTGAAGGCTAGGAGGCAGATCTAGCTTCAAACCCTGGTTCTGACATTTAGTAGATATGTAACCATGGGCAATTATTTAATTTCTCTGCATTTTAGGTTCCTCATTTGTAAAATAAACACAATCTCATCCCACCTACCTTAAAAGATTTTAAGGATAATAAAATGAGATTATCTATATAAAATATCTAGCAACATACTGAGCCCACAAAGTAA